AGTGGTCTCACAAGCGACTGTCCAAAATTCTGCCAACAATCCAAGCATATTTGACACCAAACCTGCCAACCTCTCCTTTGATAAAGTGTCTTCTACGTTGGGTACCACAAAATTCTCCCACCAAAGTGACATGGCTCCTTTGGCCAGTTCCTACACCAAAAGTAGCTCCATGGATGAGAACCAAGTGAAGGAGCCTCAGTGTGGGAATGCAGCGCTCCAGAATGCTTCATTTTCTAACCAGGACCTCAGTGTGAATCTGGAGAGTAAGGAGAACCTCCCAGCTCCATGCACTCATTCCACAGAGCTGCTTCCACCCATGCCCGAAAAGCAAGCGCCTCCTCCAGCACCCCCTGCTCTGGGTAATCACAGTGCCCGGGCTGCACTTCACTTGGACCTGTCTGCTCCTCTCGGGGCCAGCATGGTACCTGCTTCCCTTAAATCATTCAGGAGACAAGTGCAACATATTGACCCTCCATGTAGACAGGCTTTGGTGAGTCCGACGGAGATGCGGTCGCTAGGAAAGGATAGTCGAAAGCGGATCAGTAATATCGAAAAGAATCTGACACCGAAGTCTTCCAACAGACTCTCATCTGGGCGTGCAGTGTCTGCGAAGTGCAGCCCTCTCGCAGCACCAAAGAAGAGCTTTGAAAATGCGCAACCCGTGTCTCAGTGCAGCACAGTGGAATCAACCACATCAGAGGTCAAATCGGAGGGAGAAAAACCTGTAGACTCAGGTACTGTATACTTTTCATTATGTCCTAACATAAAGCAGGGTTTTAGGTCGTAGTTTGTCTGATTTAATTTGCACTTTACTAACATTACCTGCTGTTGAGCAGTAATTTTAGATGCACAGAGATCCATTAATATAGATGTGCACCACTTTGAAATGTTTTTATATTTGGTATATCATTGCTGCAAATTTGGTGTTGTTAAAATAGTCTAAAGTGTTACGTTTAACTTGAGGCTACATTTACCTTTGTAACTTCATGTGTCTGTCTACTTCTTTTAGATGAGTGTATGACTTTGCAGACATGTAAGGAGATTGTGAATGAGCTTCAGCACACCATGCAGAAAGCAGCAAGCTTTTACAGTAAAGTAAGTTTAAAGGTCTCTTCACCTCTACTATTCTTAAGCTGACTGTTTTTATTTATATGCCTGTAATTGGCAATTTTTTATATGTGAAGCACCTCATCGAAATGGGTTCATAATAGCAGTGCTTTGGATCAATAACATCATTGGCCAATTTACACCTTGCATTAACATGCATTTTTGGTGATCAGTGTTCATTTGCCAGGTGTAAACAACCCCAGGACACATTGTGAGCAGACCACATTTGGAGATGGTCAGAAACGGATCTTGACCACATTTCACACAAATGTAAACAGAATGCATTTTAGTTATCTGTATATAATTACATAAGCGAAATGTGTCTGTAAAGTGCTGACTAGCAGGTGAGATAATAAACAGTGAAACAAAAGATGGTGGATACGTGAGGCTGAAGTTATCCCCAAACCAACAGTCTTCTTGCACCCTGGACCAACGTAGAGCAGGTCATCCAGCATAGCATGCCGTGCAAAGCATAGGCATTTGTGGTTTGCTAGTTCTCCTTGTGACTGTGCCACACTTTGGCCCTTATTCATCGAAGTTGCCTAAAAAAGAGAGCAGATTTAACTGCCTTTAATAATGTACCAACTACTCTGTGTCTTGATTTATGAAACATTTGTATCAGAATCCTGTAATGACATGTAAATGAGCTTCAACATGTGAAATCAAGCATTTAGCAGCTTTTGAGCCAGTGGCTGTGCTCATAGGCCATGCGCTCAAATTATTATTAGTAGTAATTTCCATTTTCTTTAGTATTATAGATGATACTGACAAAAGTTTTGTTTAGTTCACCATAAATCTGGCTTTTTTCAGGTTGTTAAAATGTTACAAACAAATTTACACACACTCACCAGACGTGAGTTTGATCATACAGATATTCCAAAGATGAAATTGATGAATAACAAAACTCTCAGTGAAATTTGTGTCTTTTTCTAGCAGATTTGACAGTGTGCAACTTGGATGAATGAGGGCCAATGTTTTTGGCTGCTGAATTGATGGTGCATGTAGTGTATTACATCAGTTTTATGATGAGCCAATATGTAATTAAAATATGTATTTATTTTAAATATTTATGTACATATTGTGATAAAAGAAGACGCTTCTTTATTTTTGTTTATTGAAAATCTTTGCCTATTTGTATATACAGAAGATTTATTTTGCTTTTATTAGCAGTAAATAAATATGTGACGAATAGCACCTTTGCATGAAGTAACTGGTTGTACATTAATTGGTTAAAATAAAGGTGACATCAGAAAAGCAATGGCCCTCTGTTACAGTTGGAAGATGTAGTTTCAGTACTAACTTAACAAGAAACACATTTTTGCAGCTTTGAACCACAATATAAGCATATGTAGATTCTGTAAAACAAAAGTTGCTCAGCCTCCTGATTAGCCAGTGCTGTTAATTGCTGTTAAGATGGATTAAGATGCTGTTAAGACCTAACGAGATGGGCTGTCATTACTATGATGCAGTTTGTGACTTCTGTAGATCAGCAGGAGACCCAGCTTAACAGTTCATTTAAATGTAGGTCTGTATCAGCCTTTTGTATGCCTAATTTTTTCCATGGTTCTCATACTGCTGATGTGTCGTGTAAAAGAGCCAAATTTGGAAGCTTGCTTCATGGTATTAAACTGCTGTGACAAAAGAAAGTCACAGGATCACAGGAATGAACAAAGTTTCCATGTTGACTTCTGCATCTGTCTAATTCTTCTGTTTTTTATGGTGGTTTGTTGATATTTTTTGTGCTTTGGTCAAAACTTCAGACTTCTTAGAATCAACACTAGCTTGATGTGATGCTGCACTGTAAAACGTGGCTCATCAGATCTACCTAAAAAATTACTTTATGTGGTAAATTAACTAGTTTTATTCAGCCTGAATAAATACTTTGAATGAATGAATCTTTCAATTAATGTAGTTAAGTTGAATAAAACTAGTTCAATTGCTTATTACCACATGAAGTATTTTTTTAAGTAGATCTGATGAGCCACTTTTTTCAGTGTGTGTGCAGAAAATGTTTTACTTATATTTCAGTTCTTCCATTCATAAAATAAGCATATACATTTTCTACATGCATTTTTTCTTTTCTTCCTTTCTTTGTGTGTAGCTTCAGGCCATCAGTGAGTTGTCAGAGCAGCAGGTGCAGATGAAGAGCATCCTGCAGGAGGCTTTTGCTGGGGTTCTGCAGGAGCTGGACCTTCTCTGCCCCCAGAACCCCTGCCTTACTGCCCACCAACCAAACCAGCAACCTCCTGAAGACTCACCTAGCCGACAGCTGAGGGACGACCGGGCCATGGCCCTGCTAGAGAAGTACTCAGAGATGCTCCTGTTGCGCATGGCTGAAAAGACGACGGACTGCACTTGAGTTATTACAGACCAGGCGTTGAGAGACTTGAGGGAATTTTTATTAGTCCTTATGACAAAGTGCCTGATTATAAAATCCTCGTTTTTGAAATGCATTGTACAAAAAGTGGTGCATTTAGTGCCTTTTTCTTGAGTTACAGCACCCAGTCACTGCTTGAATCGTCCTCAGTATTTCATTTCAAACATCCTTAACGTTTCAGTTCTAAGCTTGTTTAACATTGGTAGCACTTCCCAAATTATTTATTACTGCACAGTGATTTATTACTATCAGTGGTGATCATTTGTGCTGTTCTTTACCTTTCAGTTTAACATCTAAGATTTCTGCTTATCAATCGTTTTACATACTTCAAGGTACCTTTCCCCCCCAAAGAAAAAGCTGCCAATGAGAACTGTTTAACATCTGTCAGGGTAAAACGCAGAAGCCTGGTTTCATCAAGGTAAGCCATTCAGACCAGTACACTGTGGTTCCAAGAAAACATTTTTCCTTCAAATGAGTTTATCTTTAATAATCCATTATTTCATGAAATGCAGTATTAACAGTATTTGAGTTGAATGCTCATTGAGTGAAGTTGTCATTATTTGTGTAGTTTTGTGGTTTTTGGTTCTTGACCTTGTTTTAGTATCACTGTGTTAGCTTTAATAACACCGGTGTCACCCAGTCACAACCACCTGTTCTGCTTCTTGTCGTCCCTGAACACGACTGTTTGCACAAAACCTGTTGAATTTTTCACATTGTGTCTCTCAAACGCAAGTGTTGCAGAAGAATGTACATGACTCCTGCTCACGCTTTGGCTTTGTCCACCGACTTTTATTTTGTAAAAGTGCTTGTAAATACCTTTTTACTTCGTTGTTTTTATAATATTAAAGAATTTTCAAGACTTTTTGTACAGTTTTGCTTTTTTTCGTGGGAACTGAGATGATTTCCCTTGAGCAGTTTTTAAGTGTTGGCACATCATTAGCCAGCTTCCAGTCGTAGATTAAGCATCGGCTGAAGAGGGTTTTTAATGGTGGTCTTGGATTAAATTGGCATTGCAAGGGTTAATTCATGTCTGGAAAACCTTTTTTTTTGTTGGTTTCAATATGTTTGACTTTGCATTTGTGGCAGTTGCCAAATGCCAGGTCATAGTCATAGTCAACACTTTTAGGTAAAACTGCTGACCTTGCCAAACGCCTGCCAGTTCCACACAGAAGTGAGCTTTTAAATCGTTAATCTGTAATTTTAAGATGGGTCAATGTACATCAGCAGGGCAGCTTTGCTAGCTGAAACTTGCAAAGTGGATGACAGAAACAGGCCTGTTCTGCTGAGTCACAGCAGTTAACCAGGATGGAAAGCATTGTTTGGTGCCTCAGTCTGGAGTTAGTCACTATTTTAAAAAAAATCTTGCCTACTTCCCCGTGTCTGTTTTTGTGTTTGACTCCAGTGTCTTCGCTCATTTTCCGCTTGTGTAAAAGCAGCCCGGTCTTTACAGGGCGGGTCGTCGACGATGACGCATCGCAGTTTCCCGGCGCTGATTGGCTGTCCGCGCCCGGTGACGCGCTCGCTAACTTGTTGCTGCGAGTTTCTGCTCGTGTTGACCGCGGCTGTGTCCGGCGCCTCAGACTGACAGTTTTAAAGGACTTACTAACGTCAGGGGTGACCATGAGCACATCCACCATAAGCGGTGCTGACGGAAAGAGGCGCTGCTGTCTGTGTTAATCATGGCCACGTCGGAGCCTGAGGAACGACTCTGCAGGAAAAGTCCCGATGCCAAACTGACAGTAGAGAGCTGGAAACGCCATATCGTACGGCAGCTGAAGTGTCGGGATAAAGCGCAGAAGACCCTCTTCCAAGATGTGATACGCTCATGTAGGCTATGCTAAATTTTACACTAACTTACACTGCTGTTTAACACGTTGAACCTGCTGTAGGGTGTTTCACAGCTGGCTGGGAGGCTCCAAGTGTCCTCTATTGGCCTCAACCATGTCAATTTTATACGTTTCAAACATATTAACGTTAGTGGCAAAAACATACACAAAACTGCACCAGGCTTTCCAGTCTGCTCACTCGGTTCACGATAATATACTTTCTTTTTCAACGTGCTCCACAAATTAAAGAAAATATGTTAAATAAACCACGAAGCTGAAGTTAGCTTCTTATGGCAGGTTCGCAGGTAAACAAGCCATATTTTGAGGTTTTCCTCAGATTCATTGACGAGGCTGGAGTCAACTTCTTTTTCGAATTTTTCCGTTCCACCTTAAATGCTGCAGCAGCCACATTCTGGCGCCTCCGGCACAAAACTAACGCCAGAATGTAACTGCTGCACCATTTAAGGTGGAACGGAAAAATTCAAAAAAGAAGTTGACTCCAGCCTCGTCAATGAATCTGAGGAAAATCTCAAAATATGGCTTGTTTACCTGCGAACCTGCCATGTCTCTACTACTGTTACTGTAGTGTCACAGCCAGGCAGGCAGGGAGCAGAGTGAGCACAACTGAGTCAGTCCGGAGTTTGACACTCGAGTACGAACAGAAAAGCTCATCAACATGTGGTTAACCTGTGAAATCAGAATGTTGTGTGTTGTAGATGTGAACCTGCTGGAGAGATGCACACAGAAAGCCTTCATCACCAAAGGGATTCTGTCAGCGACAAGGTAACGAACAACTCTGCTGTTTGCTGCTGTTACTGATTGGCTACTCTTACAAAAGATGGTTCTTCAAGGGTTCTATAGCAAAGAGAAGAGGTTCTGTTAAAAAATGAGTTCTATGTTGAACCATTTCATGCCTAAATGGTTCTTTACATGGTGAAATTGTTCTTCACATTGATGGAAACTTGACATGGTAACAATAGAAGGACCCTTTTTGGTGCTGTGTAGAACCATATACTTCATTCATTTATTAACTGTAAGAATTATTATTTAAAATCTAAAGTGACTGCTTTAGGACCACCACTGATCAGATATTATTTGGGTGGTGGACTATTCTCAGCACAATCCAAAAATTCCAAACTGTCCAGTGAACCTACACGTGTCCTCTGAGGTTTATATGTGATGTTGATGGTAAAAACAGTGGTAAAATAGTGGTATGTCTGACAAAAACAAGGGTTCTGTTTTGCTTTACAACATCCTGCTTGTACCTTTCTGCCACAATTTTTGCAAAAATATGTTTAAGGCCAAAACCTTTCCATAAAATTATCGTAAAACAATGTCTCAGTCATCAAGCAGCATTTTTAAACGGTTTCATGTGATAACTTTCTGTGAGGTATTAAACATTTCATATGGTTCCTATTAGCACCATTGAGAGCAATTCTGACTTTGCAGATTTCTCTAGAATGGAGCATTTCACATCAAACCAATCTGAATGACATTGTTTATATCTTCACCATTTAGTTTTGCAGGCATTTTGATAAATGAGTGGAATTCACCTTTAATATCCACTTTATTACACACAGCTGAAGACTAATAGTGTGGTACTCCAGCTGAGAAAAGCCACCCTGGCATGCTGTAGCGGTTTATGTACAACAAAGTGAGCTACAAATGAGTGTTCACTGTACACAGAGAGAGCCTACACGATAGATACAGTGAACGACTTCACAGCCGTGCCACTATGTACACAGTTATTTCACACATCAGTGGAAGACACAGTAACCATCTGTGAAGCTGTAAATATGCACACCAGAACAGTTTAATCCCAATATCTATAGCATGTTTATAGTCATGTAACGTCCTAGCAGCCAGGACTGTATGAGAATTCTTGAGTGATTAGAAACTCAGCTTTTAAATAGGAATAATGTATGGAGGACATTAATATTCATGGCCGTCTTAACACACAGATGAGTTATCATTTCATTATTTTTGGACCTCCCACAATATTAACCCTAAAGTAAAAAAAATTAAAATACTCTAACTCAGTTTCCTTTTGTTTCTCTTCTTCTTTCCGTCATTATTTTAAAACTGTAGCTGCCCTTAAAAGGAAATTCCACTGATCAATTCTGTGTAATTCACTCGTTAGGGTGTAAACAAAGTATGTCAATGGTTTGATTTGAAATGCTGCATAGTAGAAAAATTTTTCTTTAAACAGGTGGTGATAGGGGCCAACAGGGTCTACCGGGAGCCACCATGGCTGCAACACACAGTTAACCATTTTATTTACTATACAAAACCACCAGAGTACCTACATATATTCTGAGTTTTTATATTTAATGTTGATAATGTTAAAATAGTGTTGTAAATCTGTTTTCTTTGAGAACTGTTTTGCCTTACAATGCCCTGCACATATCTCTCCGCCATGAATAGGTTTTAAAAAACAAATCCTAAAAAAGCTTTAGGCCAAAATTGTATTGTCAAAACGTCTGGTGAATTAGCTTTTGGAGACGTCTGTTTCCTATCATTTTTATCATATTTTACCAAAAGGAACATTTGACATCAAACCACTATGAGTGACTTGTGCAGAAAATATGAAAAATCAGCGGAATTCATCTTTAGCACAGTGTGAATGTTTCATGATGAGTATACAAATGGAAATGATCTAAATTGGTTTGGGCTAAAATCTCATTACATTAACAAACATTAAACTTAACAGTTTTTTTCTTCGGCTGTACACACTGGCAGTCAAAAAGAACTGCTCTAACTTTTTTTATTTAATGTAATAACTACTGATAAACAGCAAACACTGAAAGAAATAGACAGCTAAGATTGTTTGTATGTGTAATGGAACTCTTCTTCTAAGCTTCATGATGATAATAATGCTCATTTTAAAGTATTAGCTTCCCATACGTCCTTCATTGCCGTTCACACACCATCTACAGTGGTTAGATCCATCAGTGAGAAAGAATAGGATGACACAATAATAATAATAATAATAATAATAATAATAATAACAATAATAATAATAATAATAATAATAGACCATGTGAGTCGCCACTGCTGTGCTGAGAATGGACCACTACCCAAATATCTGGTCAGCACCAGTCCTGACCAGTGATGAACAGAGTGTGTATGCATCTCAGCAGTTCCTGCCAGTATAATTTCCATTTCAGATATGCAAAGTTTTTTTTCTTCTTTCAAGACAATTGTTTAAAACTATGCATCTTGGCTGTATGTAGGGATGCACTGATATGGCAGTATCGATGCCAGTATCGAGTATTTTTCATGCACTTATCTGCTGTTGCCGATGCATAAACATTTACAAAATGTTAATAGCATTTACCTGGATTAGCATTGCAGAACAATATAACATTTATTTGTATGGGGGTACACATGCAGTAAAATTATTAAAATGCAGATGTTTTAGCACAGCAGCCCAGTGTCACCTAAACATTCTGCTTTACAAAATACAGTGGGGTCCTAAAGTCTGAGACCACCTTCAAAATCTGAGTGTTTTTCTTATTTAAACCTGGATGTGAACAACCAAAAGTTTTAAAATTTTGCACAATTTAAAACAAAATAAAGTTATGACAGGTAAAATGAAGAATATGTCTTCAAGATTCTGAATTATTTCTAGGTCAATATTCAAAATTAAACGCATTAAGTTTATGCCTGCTCAAGTTCCCACTGCCATTAAAGCAAAAGAGAGAAATACCAAATAGTAAGAAATTCTGAAATTCATATAAACAGTCAAAACTTCTACTTTTCACTCAGACTGTTATGCTAATAATATCATTTCTAATAAAAAACATTTATATTAAATTAAAAAAATGCATTTTTATTAGTTGTCTCAGATTTTTGGACTTTTGCTTACTGTCCAGTTCAATAGATTTATATACAATTTTCTCACAACACATCTATATATAAGGGTTTATTATGACAGCACGCAGCTTCCTTCTGGCCATAACCTGCTCTAATCATGAGGATTTATCCAAATGTGTCTTCTTAAGTGTTATCAGTAAATTGCTTTTATAATCTGTGCAGGCCTCTGCTGCTTCCCTCGTCTGAGGACTCACTGTCATCCCTGAAGACAGCCACTGGTGAGGTAGGAGCAAGTACTAATTCCAAGCCAATACAGATTAGTCCTGCAATCTTAGATCTGAATAAAAGGACAAGTTTTTACTAACATCACTGTCCTCTAAAAATGTATTTTTTTCAAACACTAAAACCTAAAACAGAAAAGTGCAAAAATGAGGCATAGTGTTCTCTCTTTGTTTAATTATTAGCCAGACAGCTAAATTATGAGACACAACAGGTTCATAGTCTTGCCAGTCAATTGCAGTCTGACCCAAAGGTGATCCACACAGCAATGAGTGTGAGGAAACTACGAGAGTCATCTTCCTGCTTACGCACTAATCTATTCTGTCAAGTCCTATAAAAAATAAACAGTGAGCAAACCCCAACATGTCTGAGCAAGCTGACGCTGCTGTAATTCACTGGATGCTTTGTGGCACAGTAAGGGTTTTTTGTATGTTGTGTCTATTTTTATGTCTGTTTTGTAGCTTGCTTACCAAGTAGTGGAGCTACAGCAGGAGATAAAAATCAAGGAAGCTTTACTTGACAAGCAACATGCCAGGTAAGCTGCCTTGTCAACACATGACATTCTTGTCCAAACATGTTTCTAGATTTTGAAGGGTCTATACATTTCATATATTGTTCCAAAGATATTTCAGGTATGTTTGTTTGAGCTTGGCAGTGTAGAAGTTCTAGCTTTTATAAAGAATGATTTAAGGTACAGGACATTTATGAAGTGTTGATATCCATTGTCTGTGCATCAGTGTTCCTTTAGCGCATGTAGAAATGAAAGTTCATAAAGAATGTAAGAAATTAGATTCTTATCAGCACAGGGGGGAAAATCTTCACTGTAACCTGACTCCAGCCGGCAACATACTGGCTCAGGGCGTTCTTGTTTATTGCCTTGAATTGTCCAAACAAAACCAGAGCATCAAAAGATGAATGTTTGTACAAAAATCGGTGTATATGTAAATGTTGGTGTCCAGATATGTTGGTCATTTTGTAATGAACTGCATGTACTCCCCAAGATTTGTGGTGTATTAAAATAGTGTAAGAGTATGGAGCTGTGCTTCAGTACTGACGTGCAGCTTAATGATTACATCATACAGCTGGCAGTCAAAGAGAGTTGCTCTCCTGCACGTCATACACTAATGTTTAGCAACTGTTCTTGATGTGTTTATCCTGTCTCGTACTGAAAGAAGGAAAGCCACAACAAAATAATGATATTCCAACAACACCATGCAACATGCCACAACACAGTTCATTAGGTGAAACCCTGCCTTCTTGTGGGGCTACATTGGGAAATGTATGGAGAACAAAAGTCTGACTACTATGGATTTGGACAGCAGTGAATAATCTTTGGGAAACAGTTGGTTTAAATTATTTAAAATAAATACATGAATGAATAAATTTAAGTGTGAGCCCGGAGAGTAGCTACAGGTTGGCCTGGGGGGCCTTGAAATACCCTGCATTTCTGAGTGCTTCAAAGAAAAAAAGGCCAATGATGATGCTATAAAAGAATACAGAATAATACTTAATACTTATAATATTGGAGGGGCCCACAGGCTCTGAGTTCTTGCATCCTGGTGCCTTTTTTCCACCTTAACCTCTTAAATGGCCAGGGCCCACCGGCAGGCCCAAAGTTTTATTACATACTGCCATAACCCAGGAACAGCTCAACCAGTTTGCATTGAAATCCTTGTAGTTACTGAATAATAAGCCTTAGTATGTAATAAGCCTAGGACCTAAAGACAGCTTTGGAGGTCACTTTTATTTATTTAACCCCTTAAAATCTCAGGCTTATTACATACTAAGGCTTATTATTCAGTAACTACAAGGATTTCAAAGCAAACTGGTCTTTAGGTCATCAACATTTCACATGAACTGTGCTAGTTCCTAGCCTAGGCTACTACTTACTTGGCTGCAGTGAGCTAGGTAAGGAGTAAATTCGGCTGTGGTAAAGAAAAAAAACTTGAATACTGTAGATGAGCTACAAAATGCTGATAAACACTATAAACTGTTAGTGTCATATTTTGACTTCAGTTTTTGTTGTGTCAGTGATCATTACAAAAACTTTGAGCATTTCTTTTTTTCCGTGTTGTATCCCCAGTGGGTTTTAAGTGATGCTTTAATTTCACTTAATGAACTTTATGGCATGTGGCACTGTTTTGTAGGAATATTCATTATTTGTTGTGATTTTCCTCCTTTAAGTTAACAGACAGAATAAAGATGTGTGCATACGAGCAATTCCTCCTGTACTGAGGATTTTATTCACGTTATACAGAATTCTGTCTGAATGAACATAGAACGTCATATATTGTCTTGTAGATTATTTGTTGACATGCTAAGTTCACACAGTACTGTATGGAAGTCAGAGACTACCCTTCATTTATTTAATTTCCAGTCAAAATGGCTATTAAGTTTTAAAAAAATAACTAAATATAATGTCATTTTTTCAGTATTTGTTGTGGACACCCTTTGCCTGTGTTACAGCTTACATTGTTCCCAGGAACTTGCTTTTAGTTTTCCAGAGATAATACCAGCAGCTTCTTCAATCTTTCTTCAGCTACACATCCTTTCATACTCACAGTGAAATGTACCTTATCTATTGATTTTAAGATTGGACAATTTGATTTTACAGGTCATTTTACTTTTAATGCAAACCAGTATGTTATTTAATGTAGGCCATATGTTCTAATTGCTAAGTATACAGACATGTGCTCTGCTCTTTTGGCCTTAAGGCTACATAACAAAAAATAGGCAACTCTATAAATTCACATATAAAAAATTCAGTTTGATTTCTTGTCAAGTTCACAATATAAGAGACAAACATTAAATCTAATCAGTTGTTAAAACAGTGACAATGTATGCTGTTAATGTAAACATCTATTTGTTGGTGAAATGTGAACATGCTTTGAGGGTGTAATACTGACGATTTCACTGGCTGTATTTCACAATAGCAGTGTGCACTGTTGTGGATTATTAGGTTGAGTGAGACGCAGGATGATTTGAGGGAAGTACAGTTAGAGCATGACAGACTGCGGTCCTGTGTGGCGGAGGTGCAGGAGAGGAACCAGCTGCTAAAGAGTAAATATGACTCCCTGCTCGAGAGCTGCCAGCACACAGAGGCTGCCTACCGCAAGGAGAAGCTTTATGGCTCTGAACTGTTGGAGGACATGATCCGCTGGAAACAGCAGGCCGCTGCTCGCATGAACTCACGCAACGAGAGGAGAGTGAGGTGAGTGAAGATGGCAAAAATGTTCATGCTCTTAGACATGGTTATGAATTAAACCAGAGTCATTTTGTCAAACTCAGAAACTCAGCATACACCAAGATCATGTTTTTGGCATACAGATCTTTGAACTTATCAATGACTCAACAGACCTCCTATTTTAAAGTGACATTGACTGTCTGTTGAGGCTCAATAAAAACATAATTGCAGCTATCTCTTGTTTGAAGTTTGGCCAAACCTCATCTGTACTGTCTATAAATGTTTTCTTCTGTTTCAGAGCCAGAGAGGCTGGTCTTCATAAAGAGCTCGAAGTGGCTGCTAATAAGAAGGTGGACATTGAGTAAGTATTCATGCTGAACAGTAGCTTATTCTGAGAAAGAATGAATGAAAGAACATTTTTGAGACCTCAGTATCTTATTATTTCAGAAAATAATCATTTTCCAGATAAACTTTAAAATTGGTCAGATTAACTAGTCGTGGACCCATTACCTTGTGGACACATGGAAAACAAATGTTCCTATAAAGTATTTAATTTGTTAAATAGACTGTGAATTTAATAATATATTCACTTGTAAATAAGTGTACAGTGTTTTGAGAGATGCATGTTCAAAAGTTCACTACTTCAGAAGGGAAATACTATTAGTTACATAACTTGCTTATTGACTCACCTTCCACTCATAATGATCATTATCTTCAAGGGGAATTCAGTAACATTTCGTTTGAATAGACCATTGTAGATGCTTACCTTGCATTTAACCTACCTAATTAATGGAGGTGAGGAGGAATCAGGGGTTGTGATTTCTACAACACAAATGTAGCCATTTTATTTATTATTGGCTCTTATTGGCCTGACTGCATGTCTTTGGACTGTGGGAGGAAACCCACACAGACATGGGGAGAACATGTAAACTCCACACAGAAAGGAGCCTGGTCGCCTGACTGGGGAATCCAGTCCAGGCCTTTCTTGTTGTGAGGCGACAGCGCTACCCACCGTGCCGCCCTGAATAACGTTCTGTGAATTCTAAACAATTTGAAAATGATGCATTTAACAAACAACAACAACAACAAAAAAATGAATATCTTGTTTACAAATTAAAGACTTAATCATCCTGAAACTTGAAGAAATCGGTGGAATTCTTTTTTCATAGTACATTTCGTCCTTGTCTGGCCTTGAATAAAACAGTTAACCCCAAGTAGATCCAACGTCTCCATCTCAGCAGACCCCTTGGTTTCTCTGCTTTGAATGAATGAAGTAAAAATAAAATCAGTCTGTTGAGGTGATGGTGACCTTTCAAAAAATCCACTCAGTGACAGCATGATTAAGCTTTTGATTGTCTGTCTAGGTAGGACTTCAGCTTTCATTTTATATATTGACAGGCACTTTTCATATTTTGTAGAGTATGAGAGTGAGGCAGACAGGTTGACAGGTGGACAGGCCGAAAGTGAAGCATTGAGGTGAGCAGAAGTGAGCTTTCAGTCATGATGGACACTGAATGATGTTTAGAGAATGTGAGGTACGGCAGAGGTGTCAGTGTTGTCTGTCTCTGACACTGCAGCACTTTGTACACCATGTCAGAAGAACAGCAAAAAATATGCTTAAAACTGACACAAGGTCATGTACAAAGTTTGCAACTGCCCATTTCAGTACTGGCTTTAACGTGTCCTCATCCACTCATTCTCACCTCTCTAAGGAAAACCTTCTTTCATAAGATTGTCACAAGATAAAGCAGGTCTGATTATTGTATTAATGAAGGATCACCGATTTCTCCTAAACCCCCTTTTAGGGGGGAAAAAGAGTTCAGTTGTTACAAGTATTTTATTGTTAGAAGGTCTAATGATGAATGAGAAAAGCTTCATTCTACACTGAAACACTGCTGAAAGCTCTGTGATATAGAATAGGGCTACATAAGAAAATGAGCTTTTACACTTTTCTCATTGGAAATATTATTCAGCTAAAGTCAGACACAACAGTCCATCTGTGAGAGAATATGAAAATCCAGTGGTTTCTTAGGGGTCATTTTTGAGAAACAGAAATTGAGATTAAGAGATCATGTAATTTAGAATATTTCTTTCCTCTGAGTATTTCTACTTGGGCAGGGATTACCGACAGCATCTTAAGGGTTGTTCCATTACTGTATTAGCTCAAGTAAAGTTTGTTAGATGAGCCCTAGAAGAGGCGAGGGATTGAGAGAACACTAGTGTCGACTTCAGCACCAGAACTTTCATTGTGGTCTGAAGAATTTCCCTAGAGATGTTACGAGCGAGGAGACCAGTCACTGATTGAATGGCCTCTGTTTACAGGGAAAGTCTCTGCCTTCAGTAAAAGGAGCTAATCAGCTTGCTGGTTACCAGTAGCCAGAACAAGCCAAAAAACATGTTTTATGTGAGGTATTGAGCCAAACGCTACTAACGCTACAAGTTTTTTGTCAGGTTAAACCAGTGATTTCAAATATGTTTTTGAAATGGTAATTTGACCTAATTAGTATTAATTAGACCTTATTGAGTATTTAGTAGTAGTCTGGTCTTGTATGACTGGAAATAACTACCTGGTGGCGTTGCAGATGGCAGCCAAGCGAACAAACTTTCCTGTAAGGACTTTCCTATAAGCTGTTTCCCCTTTCAGACCCCCCAAAAAAGGGGACAAAGCTGTTTATAAGCCATAACCGAAACTACTTCAAAATACTTTTCAGTATTTCAGTACTGTAACATTTTATTTTATTTTTATTTTGTGTTGCTTTTGGGGTACAAATCTGTATGCATTACTAATACAACTTCGTTACTCAACTTTGCTAACTTGCTAGCAAGCTAAAGGCTACACAGCTAGCAACAGCAAAAATGAAGCCACAGTTCTAAACCGAAGCTCAGAGCCAGGCGAAGCGATTATTCAAAAACAGGCATTGGTTTGTTTTAATAACAAGCGATTTGCATGTTACAGTTAAAGAAGCTTTAGATACTGTCATGTTGAGTTCTGATGCATTAATCTTTGACATGTTGCGAAAGCTTTGATGTCTGATTTTATAGAATGACTGGGTCTCATGAATACCTGACCATCATGCTGTTTTGTGTATGCACAGAAATTCAAGAGATAGACAGTGTATGACGCACAGATACATATTGTGCACTTGTGTTTTTAACAAACGTTTGCTTCTTGAAACTGTCAGGTGTACTAAATTTGTCGTCGAACAACAAACTGGACAACAGAACATAGAATTTATAAGAATTCACACTGCATGGCAGAATCCAACATGTTCCGTACTCAGCAACCAGTGTAATCAACCAAACGTTTTTGTGGTTAATTATTTAATTCATTTAATGTATTTTTTTAAGAGTGCCTCAAAGTGCATCATTACCATCATCGCCTTTATCACTGAGGAGTGAGAGTGGAGAGAAGCTGGAGAGAAGCCATGGACGACTTTTCAGGTAATAGTATTTATTATATTTTATTAAAGTATATAGTAAGTATTTATTAGTATTAATAAGTCTTAATAAGTCATTACTTGCATATTAGAATCAATATATAAATCCAGAGAATAGTAGACATCCTTGCATGTTTTAGAAGAGTAAATTGTAGTTATAAAAACCGATACTTCTGGTTCTAAAATCTGCTTGGCAGAGACACACATCATCACTGTTCCCCCCAAAAAAGTATCTCCAAAATTCCAAAATTGCTACTTCACAGGGGAGGCCAAAAAATGTGGTGTAATATTAATGTTATTTAATATAAAGAGATTTTATTTAAGCAGTTTTGGAGTATTTCTAGTGGTTCATTCATAATTAAATTTTCACACTGTTAAGGGCAGCTATTGTGCTCAAATGATGTAGAAAAATGCAAATCAGAAAAATTATAGATTTCTTTTTAAACCTTTTCCTTTCCTTTTTTGGACAGCAACGATATACAACCATTAAAATATTGTAAATACATAGTTGGGACCGATGTTACTAAGATCCGCATTGTTGCCTAGCAACTGTAGCCTATTTTTAGCAAACTACATTACTTAAGTGGAATAATTGTGATTATTAATAGTAAGTTAAATATTTATTGAACATTAGTATATTTTATCATGTTTTATTTTGTTGGAAGTTTATGAAACTTCTGCTTTTTCTTAACAACACCTCTTAACAGTGGTCAAATAACTGTAGCACACAACTCTTATCGATTTAGTTTGGAGTTCTGGAAGCTGTAGTGCTTATGGAGGACAAAAGAGTTTTGATGGAAGTGCTCAGAACTTGTGACACATGGAACCAGGAGCAGGAAATAATTAGATTATACGAATCATGGCTTGACCTGCACTGAGTAAATGTTGGACAGACAGCATATACGCTATGTGTCCAAAAGTATCCAGACAGTCCTTCTAATGAGTGAATTCAGCTACTGTAAGATTTGCCTGTTGCTGACATAGGCGTTCAAATGCACATGCACAGCTTGTAATAGTAAAGGACTGACCAATACAATGAGATACTTTGGAGCATCCACACATGAGCCTAAGGTCTCCATGCCTAAATCCAGTAATCTTCTATCATTTAGTGTGAAAGCCTTCCCAGGACAGTACAGGCTGTTCCTGTTAATACCTTTAATTTCAGAAGAAACGTTGGATGTGCAGATGTCTGCGAAGCTTTGGAGATATATAGTGTATAATATAGAGTGATTTGGGGACAGTGTTTCATATTTTGGTGAGGTGGAGCAGCTGAGGCGTGAATGTGACACCTGTGACAGTGTCCTCTTCTGAGGCACTGAAATGACTATGAGGAGGCACTCTATCCTCCCTGCAGATTCTCTGAAGTACAGAATATACCCAGATCTTTTATTTATGGTCTTTTATGTCTCTTCTTTTTTATTCTTTTTTTTTGGCATCTGCTTTGCTCACTGTTGCTCACAGGTCTGCTTCAGCAACCTCACCTCGAATTCTCGACTCCATCAGAGATCTCTTTGAGTAAGTTAGCCTTTTTTCTCTATTATAGTGCAAGTGTGCACCATAGACTGTGTGTGTACTGTGCTCACAAGACTGCTGTGAATATTACAACCACTTTCAGGGATTAGATCAGTGTAGGAACCCTAACACATTCAGTGATGTTAAGGTCTGGACTCCAGTGTGGTTAGTCCACTGTTCTGAGAACTCCAGCAGCTTCTTTGTTTGATTTACAAACTTTCTTCTTTTTGGTCTGTTTCCTTTTCTCAGTAGCAGCTTCTTGGCAGCTACACATCCTTTCAGACTCACAGTGTTGATTTGTCTTGTCACAGTGGAAGGATGGACAGAAACACTAGTGGATTTTTTCAGATCTGCAACAAGAGTGGAGCTTGATTTTCACCTCCCTTTCAAAAATGAAAGCTTTTAGTGCTGTTTATCTGAGGATGAAATTTTAGTGGTCTCCCAGTTCCTGCACAGTTGTTAAGAGGACCATTTTCTCTTTAGCTTTTAGTCATTTTTTTAACTGTGGATTTGGAAGCTCCTGCTTTTTTCATTTATTTTACCCTTCCTTATGAAAATAGGTTATCTTACATCTGATGTCATCAGAAATATCTACAGAAAACTAGATGAACAACTTCAGGAATAACTTGTAGTGAATGGATGAATTGAGTGGAAATTAAATAAATGAAGAGTGGTCAAGTACTGTATATATCTTATGTTAATTGAGAAAATTAATTAGTAGCTAGGTCAGTCCTGTCAGCTCATTTACTGGTCTTGTTACCGCTTTCAGTCAAATCAGAATATATTTAAGCGGTGAACTACATTTCTCAGTCGTAAACATAGTCTCATGTCCTATGTGTGCTGTTCTCAGTAAGAAGAGGCGAGGCAATTCGGTTTGTAGTTTGGAAGAGGACTTCTGCGCTCCCCTAGGAATCTGTCTAGTTGCTAGAGTTCCAGCCAGAGCTGCTTACTCACTGGTAAGTGTTTGACTCTTGTAATTTATAAGCAACATAATAGCATTTCCCCTAACAAAGAATATTTAACATGCTGGAAACATGCATGATATTAAATCACCTCAGATCAGAACATTAGGAGGTCTGTTTAGGTCCTTGTTTCAAAACTGATTGGGTGTGTAAATCAATTTGATTGCGAGTCTTAGGAAATAATTCAGTATATCATGAAATCACATATTTAATCACAATTCGATTTAGTATAATTGTTCTAGCACAGTTCAGAATTATGTTTAACAACTAAATACACTGGGGGAACTGTTTTAACAGTAGAGGATGATCTGTTTTTTTTGGTTTGAAAATAGAATTTTGTTTTGGCCAAAAAAAAAACAAGAGCTCATACTTCATACTCATACTAATTGATTACATTTGATTCCAAAATCAGTACAGTTGAATCGCCACCTTCATACAAGTGCATCCCTATGTCTCAATTTGTTTTCATTACCCTATAACTGACTACAAAGTAGTTATTCAGATTGAGTTATGAGTACATAGAGTGACTAATAGATGCATCAGTAGAGAAAAGCATAAAGCATAAAGAGACTGATAAATAGATGAGACTTGTCTTTTTGACTTTATGTGTAAACTAGTGAAAGGAAGCTGGTGGTCCATGGTTGGTGTGACTGTGGAGGGACAAAGGCTCATGTGTGTCTCTGCAGAACAGAGTCCCTCTGTGCCACACTGCAGCTCTGTCACCACAGCTCTCAGCACACAGGGCCGTTTTCAGTTCAACTGCACACTCTAGTCTGGATTAGCCAGCCTGAGCTGTGGGAGCTGCAGGGAGGTCATGACTTCCTTAATTGCACAAATGTCACAATTTGCATATTGTGTGTTATTTTCAGCAACTGCAAATGAGAGTTAGGCCTGCACGTTTCCTCTGTTTTCTCTCCTCTCAGTAAATTAATGTTAGGTGTTTTGAGATCTGAATGAATAAAGACTGTTTAAGTTAGCGAAAGCTGGATGCACATTTTGTGGATTTAGTCCTTTGTAAACAATCATTGTGCTGAGAAACTAGAGCCATTAAGGTTTTACATTTAATTTATTTTTCTTTGATTTGCGTTTCTAAATGAAAGACACTTTTGGCAGTAATATTTTTCTTCAGCTATGCTTATGGGAAAGCAGTTCAATCAGTGCTTTTGTGTACAAACACAGTGAAAGCTGGCAATTTGAAAGCAAGCGAAAACCATGACTAGATCAGCATTTGGGCCAAAATAACTGAACAAAATTGTAATGTAAAAGAACCAGACAAGACCTGTCATTTTGCTGGCTTATAGGGCACTAAGCTGACACGAGCAAAACAGCTTACGCCCAGGAAATGCCACCTTTCCTCAGACCATCATTTTCTAGCATGGAAAGCAGTGTTTCAGTCCCTCTAACTGTCTTAGTCCCTGTTCTTCTCATTTTTGTACTAAAGCATATATACATTGTGGAGCAGTAAAAATAGGAAAAAAGCCTTCTTTTAAATTATTTTGCAAGACTTCAATATTCTGGACTAATCAGTTGGTCATGGAAACGGTGTCTACATCTCATGTCATTTGATTTTGGAGCTACTGTTTGAATCTGTATGAACAGTAAAGCAGTGCTTTATTTTAAACGCTGCTGTGCCTGATTTGAAAGAGTCTTTCTCTGTTGGTGCAGGACGCACATGAGCTGGGAATCAATGCGGCCAGATTCAGCCCCAGATCAAACCTGCTGGCTACTGGAGGCACAGACAGAGTCATCAAACTGTGGGACATCAAAGCAGGTACAACACAGTAGAACACTGAATTAGAAGCAGCTTTCCCATCTTACATGACAGCCGTAATGATCACAAGAGAAACTACAAAATGTCTCCAATCAGCAGCTTCCACCAGCTGTTCAGACACACTGCTGTAGGTGTCATGTAGTTCTGGGCAGTATGCTGTGTGTACTAGTAATTACAGGATTTGTGTCACACGGCAATATCGATTTCAGAATGAACAAAGTAAAAAAAAAAATCCAGATTTGAGTGGAAGTAGAAATACTACTGGTGTAATATTACTTGAGTAAAAGTAGGAGTAATCCTAATTATATTAGCCAAGTACAGCCAATTTTTCAGTGTTTTTTTTTAATGGGTCAAACTGGCATTTCAAATTTGTAAATGATCAGTGGCCTATTTCAAAATCAGAACATAAAATCAAATGAGCACTACATTCAAAATAAGGTGTGACAGAAGCATTCAAGTACAAGTGTTAACGTTTTTGACACCATAAAACTGCAGCAGAGCCAAAATAAAAGTAATAAATTGGCTGATTGCCAGTTGCATGTTTCAAACAAATATACACTGTGCATCTTTAATCGAAAGTAAAAGTACTGTGAGCTATTACAGTAATTATGTCATATTATTTTACATAGCTCTTAGTGTCTGCAGCCACACAGGCCTCCTTTCTAGAAATTGCTTATCAAAATAAATACCATGCTAACTAATAACCTGTTGTGCTTTTACTTTTGATGCTTAAAGATGTTTTAAAGCAAATGCTTTTGTACTTTAGAAATATAGATAGAGGACAATAAAAACATAGTCAACTGTACTACAGTTTCTGTCTGACCCAACGTTTTCAAATGCTCTCCAATGTTCTTTTTGGTGTAATGTTAAGAGAAGAAAACAGAACAAAACAGTACATTTAAAACCATCTGTGTCAGGTTTGTAAGATGTTATTTTAGCATCTCCTTTCAGTGATTTCATCAATGCTTTAATGACCTTTATTATTGCAAACATAAATATAATTTTATACCAAGGCACTGTGATTTATTCGGAGAATATTCTAATATTCTCAACAACAGAATATATACAACAATAAAGGCATTAGCCTCATTGTTTTTAAACCCTGATTACATATAATCACTGCCCACATTTAAGTCTGTATTTATACCCTGCTCACTCTTATTCTACGTGCTTAGCCAATATGGTTATTTATAGTACCAAGAAAAACAGTTTCTTGAACTTATAGAGGAAGCTTTTTGGTGCTATGTAGAGCCATATTTTTAAAAAGCTAATTAAAAGAACATATACAGCAGATTTTCCATCATGAAGAAGAAACATTTAACTGTGCAAAGTGTGTTGAGCCTTCACTAAAACCCTTGAGGAATCACTTTGTACAGGATGTATTTTTGTATGCTAAAGTATGGGCACACCTGGGGAGGGAAAAAAACAGAAAACGTGACCTGTGCAAACGTTACAGCTTATTGTATAATATTTTCCTATATGTTCATTTGAAATAAACAGAAATTGTGCACTAAAATTTGCAGAAAAATGCCACATTTAATTGAATGTGTTCTGTGTGATGTGTTTCTGTGTAATGCTTATTTTCACTTACAAAATCAACAAAGCATGTAATTTGACCTGAAGTGTTCAAGCGGTTGCATATAACTGAGCTTAAGTGTCTTTAAAAAAAAAAGATTAGTAGGCAAAAATGTTGTGTTATCATCTTGTTGATGATAATGGGCACAATTACTTTAAATCAGTAGATCATAATAAGAGAACAAAAAGTCACGTTTAATTTATTAAAAGTGTAATTTTAGAATTGAAGAAAATGAGAAATAGGTGTGTATTGTATAGCTTTCAGGAAATGATCTGTGCAGCTGCAGCGTGGCGTGCTGTGCGTGTGTCAGTCCCAAGGGCACTCTAAAACGGTTTGGTCGTAAAGAGAAGGTGTTGCAATTTGTGTTCTTCTAGGCGTGCTGCACAACAGAGGGACACTAGAGGGGAGTAATGAGGGCATCACCAGCATCGAGTTTGACTCTACGGTATGAAGGCACACCATTTCTCTTTAGGAGGTCTTTGTGAGGAGCTCCGTTTGATTTTATTGAAATTTAAATATAGATTGTTTTAATGATTTGAACGATTTGAAATGATTTTTTCTGCTGAGATTCAGCTCTCCTGACTAATATCTGCAGAAGATGTGAATGCTCCTAGATCAGTTAACAGTGCTGCAGTGCTGTGTGAGTGGGTGTCTGTGTGCTTTTAAGCCTGCCTGTATGTCTATTCATATGTCTTCATATTATGTCCTACCTTCATCAGGGCACCCGAATATTAGCTGCGTCATACGACAAGTCAGCTCTGTTTTGGAGGCTGGACGACTGTGTTCCCAAGGTAACAGCACCTCCCCTTCACCCCCACCCCAACCCCCGCCTGGTCTCGCCTGAGTGGTCCTCATATCTGCTGCAGTGTACTGTCTCCCCGAATCACTGTCTGCAGGGCTTCATCCACACAGAGTTGTTCCTGCTTACCTTCAGAGGTGTCGTTTGAGTTGATATGGCACTGACAGCAGAGAAAATTATCTCTTTTATATACTCAGTCCTGTCTTTTGATATTTTAGACTTGCTGAGCCTAGAGATTTTTTTTAGCAATGTGTCCAATTCAACTATTTGGTGCTGCTCAAATTTCTTTTGCTGATGGGTAAATGCTCTGTTAGCATAGATCCTCAGATGCAGTATGATTTGTATATATATATATATATATATATATATATTTGCATGTATATATATATATATACATATATATATTTGCATGTATATATATATATACATATATATATTTGCATGTATATATACATATGTATATAGATATGCACTGTTTTTGAAATGTATTGTACTTTTTTCAGTTTAGTCCAATTTACTTTCAGTTTATATGTAAAAATCTTTATTTGGTGCCTTTGTTGCTGAGTAGATTATCTTATCACGCACGTACACTACTGTGCAAAAGTCTTAGGCTGACAAGAAAACTGTTTAACTATTTCTCTTGGCAGTAAGTGTGTATTTGTATTTGTAATACAAATACTTAGATTTGTAAAACCAATATACAAAACATCCTTTTGTATAAATGGTTATATTTATACCATACCATTACATTTCTGGTATAAATAGAATCTAAAAACTCGTAAAACTTGTGCACAACATAGTGCAGTGGTTAAATTGTAGATATACAAGCAGAACGTTTGTCTCACCAAATGTTCTGATGAAACCGAATGTTAAGCACATCCTGGTAAAAGCATGCAAAACAAATGTAGCCTTCAGAACAATGGGAGGAAGTGAAAAGACCTGCTGAGCCATCATTAATCTCCTTTAAGTGTTTGCATGGATTTTTCTTTTGAAGAACCCAGTAAGCCTTTAAAATGCTGCCCATTCCAAATTGTACAGTTGTCCGCTGGTCCAGTTTTCCACTAGAAATCTGAGTAAAATTTGTGAGTAACAGAGCTGCCCTATATATATAGAAAGATTAATAAACAAGGTCATATGTTTTATGTACCTGTACATATAAAGTCATTCAGATATACTGCTTTCCACACGGGTCTCAAGATAATATATTGCATCTGAGAAAATTTATACTGTGTTTATATAGTGGTGTCGAATAAAACGCTCTGTGCTTCAAAGCAGTACACAAGCAGCAGCAGCTTGCAGCCCTATAAACCGTTGCTGCCGTTGTGATGGTATTACTGCATTTTCCATTACTGCTTCATTCAAAAACATGGAACATCCAGCTTGCTGTTGTACGTCTACTGTCATGTAAATGCGGTATCAGACTTTGAGTGTAAAGCTATGAAGAATGTTTAACAGTCAGTGGGCTGGTCGTCCATGTAACTGTTATGCAGCAAGTAATATTGTATTTTTGCTCTGGTTGTACAAGTAGGAGGGCTACAGTAAAGAGTCATCATTCAAGGGAATATCCTGGAAGTCTTTGTGTATTTGAAGTAGAGAGAGAGCGAGCAAGAGACACTGAGGAGACAGCCTGTAAATATGAGCTCTGGTTAATTTCACCTCTGCGCTCTGTTATTGTAGTTTACGCTGACAGGCCATTCTCGCAAAGTGACAGCAGCCAGGTTTAAGTGCAACTACAGGCAGGTGGTGACGGGGAGCGCTGATAGAACAGTGAAGATCTGGGACCTGCAGCGGGCTGCCTGTAAGTCACACACACATCTACATAATGTCAGTCTAGTTGTCAAATTGACAGGTGTGTTTTAATGCAAAATGTACAGTGTCCTTATAGATTTATCACACACAGAGCAAGGGTGGTTATTGTATTCATGAATTTACAGTGGGATGTATCTGAAAGGGTAATTATAAATTCAGTACAAATACAAACCTTAAGTTGAAACAGTATGTGAAATGCTAATTAAAAAACGGAAAGCAGTGTTTGACCTGTGTTCAGTTGAACACTTTATTAAGTCTTTTTTGGAAATAAACATTTGATGTTCGCTTCCAAAAAAGTTGTGACAGGTACATGTTTACGACAGTGTTACATCACCTTTCCTTTTAACACTCAATAAATGTTTGGGGACTGAAGACACCAATTGATCCAGTTTTGAAAACCAGTTTATTTTGTCATTCTTCTGTTATACACGTCTTCAATTGTGCAACTGTACTAGGCCTTAGTTCTCTTATTATGCACTAAATAATGCACCACATGTTTTCAATGGGATACAGGTCTGGTCTAAGCAGGTCTAAGCATGCAGACCAATCTAAGCATGGGGTGTCCTTAAAAAGTCTGTAAGGCAGCATATTTTGTTTAAAAATGTGTATATATCTTTCAGCGATAACTACCTTCACAGAAAACACAAGTTACACATGGACTTTTAATAATACACCCCCATAGCATGACAGACCCTGGCTTTTGAACTTTACACTGGTAACAGACTGGGTGTGTGGAGTTAATGCATCTAACACAGAATATGGAACGATTATGTTTCCTATCTAAAGACACTAAAGATGTAACCTCGCGACAACATTCCTAGTCTTAAATTGCCCCTGTCACAACTTTTTTGTAACTTTGTGTTATAGATAACAATTTTAGAATGAGCTTATATTTACAAAAAAACACCTTATCTTCGTACCATTTTGGATTAAATACAGGATGAAGTGGGTTTACAGATCACTGCTTTATGTTTTTATTTGCATTTCACATATTGTTCCAACTTTTTTGGAATTGAGGTTTGTAATGTAATGAGCAAAAAGATTTGCATGCATAGATTCTGGCTCCAAATTGAAAGTAATGTTGTGCTAACATTACATGACTAAGCATTTCATTGTTTAGCTGATATTTACACAGGGAAATGTACATGTTTGGTTATTAACAGTGGGCAAATATAATGGTTTATATGTTACACATAAGTGAATGGTGTAATGAAGCTATGTGTGCCACACAACAAACGTGTTTTGGCCAACTGATAATGCTTGGGGTTGGGGGAAGATTGTATATTTGACTTTTCAGTGACCCTTAATTAGTTTGAAACTGTTGATTTTTTTTTTCTCTGCCCACAGTGTACGTGATGGATGTTTTTGAATCCTTTTATTTCAACATTCAAATGATTAGCTTTTCCTTCACAGGCAGCTCTCAAAGCTTCCTGGTTTATGCGTACTGACACCAAAGCTAGATATGTCAGGACTGGAAATAGTCCTGTCAGCGTTCCACTAGGTGTAGCTGCGCCTGAAAGACATAAATGAGAAAATATCAGACGACAACAAAGGCTAATACAGTTACACTGTTTAGTAGGTCTATAAAACAAGGTAATGGGGTAATTAAGCATTTTAATCAAGCTACTAAGTGCAGTTAGACAGCAAAATCAGCTATTTGTCTACTGACTGCATGTAAATGTACTCACGTATACTTGTTGCTCATATTGTTTTTCTCTGTCTTTCAGGCATACAAACCATTGAGGTGTTGTCCTACTGCAGTGATGTGGTGTGCTCTGAGTATTACATCATTAGCGGCCATTATGACAGAAAAATACGTTTCTGGGACAGCAGGTAGGGAGACGCCACTCAAATAATGACAGTAATTTATTACCACTTACACAGACTGTTCCCGGGGGTAGAGCAGGCTAAAAAATCCTAACTCACTGTGTGCTTAGTAAATACAGAGAGACTGTAGCTGTAGCTGTTTCACGTAAGTAAATGTAGGTGGTGAAGCAAACATTGTCTAAACAGAGTTTGTTTAAAACAAAATTTTAATTCCATTAAATGTCAGTGATATTTGGATTTAATACCTTTATTACAAGCCATGCCACCATTTACACATTTCCAAGGGTGGAAAATAATACTAAAGTATTCCACTTAAGTATTATTTTTAAAGATTTGTACTTTAATCACATATTATTGAAAGTGAATACCTGTACAGTTTCATTTCCAAGAGAAATAAACATATTATTACTTCTTACTTTTTCATTTAGATCTTCAAAGTATTCTGTAAAAATCTCAAAGTCCAGGAGATTTTGCTCTCTTTTTCTATTGGCAGTCAGTTGAGTTAGAGCACATTTGAATTAGTATTTTATATTAAAACATCCAGCCAAATTTTGTAAAAAAAAAAACAAAAACAAAAACAAAAAAAACAAAACAAAAAAAAAAACACAATCACCCATAGCTATGCTCATTTATCTTTGTGCAAGGACCAATACCACCAATTACTATACAAATCATTTTTACTTTTATGTACTTGCACATTTAAATCTAGATACTTTGGCCCCGTTATTCCACATTTACTTGTTTTACAAATTTTCGATACAGTACTTTCACTTAAGTACAGTTTTTCTGTACTTCTTCCTAGAGGTGGGCGATATAGAAAAAAACGAATATCGCGATACTTCAAGAAATTTTCACGATACACGATATGTCACAAGATTTATTGTTTCAGACAACTGATCAGTTGGAACAGACAAAAACGAGCCAGCAGTGCTACATTTAAAAATACTATCAACAACTGCAACTAAATGCAGTTAAACAGGACTCTCTTTTTAATGAAGCATGCAGTTAGTCAGTGTCATACAAGTACTGACGATATACACAGTATGTTCAGAAAAGCATATGGTATTGTGACATAATTTATCACGATAGCTATATATATTGTCAGATTGCCCAGTCCTCCTTTTACCTCCTCTGCACATTTCCAAGTTACTTTTTTTTGTCTTCCCATGTTTGTACCAAATTGTTGTCTGAGTGCTAATTGTGACTGTGTAGTTTGGTGGGAGAGAGCTCTAATGCATATGTGTTAGTGCTGGGAAGAGCTGCTGTTCTGCTGGCCTCTTCAGCATTTTCATAATCTCATTTAATGGAACTGAAATTCTGCCTTAGAAGGATTTCACACACAGTGAGCCTGGGACTGATTCCATGCCGTGTGTCTTTGAAGAGATGAGAAGTGAAATGTTGGTGTCAGAAAGTATTCAGAGCAGGAAGTGTGTACAGTCCACTCTGATGCTGGAAACTAACGCAGCTTTGAGGCGAAAGAGAAATGCAGTCCAGAAAATCAACAAATCTGAATAATGTGTTGCTGCACTGTGTGTATGTGTGTGAGAGAGAAAGAGACCGAGAGAAATCTTTGAGGGAGAAAATATGTTGAATTCAAGACTGTCAATATTGATTGATTAGAAATTTGTATATTAGTCATCTATTTATTAAGTACTTAGTGGTAAAAAGAGACCAAACACTAAAATGGATTTAACTGAACAATAACAAATTTCAAACATCCAAAAAATGTATTAGAAAAAGAAAAACAAAGAACTTTAAAATCAACCTCAGATTAAAATGGACATTGTTACCTTGTTAGTTGATGTCTCTTGTCATATTAAGAAGCATTTATCATATCAATATCATTTCAAATACACAATTCTCTTGTAAATTTTTGTAGTAATGTTCCATCAGAATGTAATGATTTTCCTCCATGTTTAAACGTCTCCAAAGTTTTGATCACATCAGAAGGTGAAAAAAAATAAATAAATAACCAGTGATATGATGTTTCATCCTCCCTCCCACCACACCAGCCTATCACTCAGCAAAAACGCTCAGCTAGCTCAGATACTCTCTCTGACATGTATACAACTGTAGGCAAAAGTTGGGCACCCCTGTTCAAATTGCATAGTATGTTGACTTTCTAAAAGAAAATAAGTGACAACATCCTCTTCAGAGAACAAACTTAAATATGGCCATTTTTCTGCAAATTTTAGCGTACAATTTGTATTTATTTGCCATATATTTGAAACATATTGAGGATAAAAAATATACAATATAAAATGTGTGCAGGCTTCATGGTATGTTTTTTTCAATATGTTAAATTCAGTAAATAAACTGTTATTATTTATTTAAATTAAGAAGTGTGATTCCTGTAAAGGATGTGTTAACCTATTTTCACTTAAAAGATTACTAAAACGCAATTTGACCAGGCATGCCCAAGCTTTTGCACAGTTTTAAGTGACCCTTAGTACTCTCGTGTCAGGGGATCAAGCCAGCGATCTTCCGGTCACAAGGCTGGTTCCCTAACCTCCAGCCCACAACTGCCCCCATATGACTGTATAGTAGTGTGCAGTAATCCTAACATTGTTTAAAACCATGTATCATGGTGTGTGCTTGTAAAAACACATTTCATAAGAACTAATGCATAAAAACAAACACATACAGTAAATTTTTTTGGTTTTGTTTTGAACAAATTAGTTGAGATGTTGGGAGCTAGTCTGAAGAACAATGTTTGGCTCCAGATTTCTCATGGACACCTCCAGCTTCACATGAATTTGTTAAATTCGTTTGTTAAATTAAGTTTTTTTTTTCATAATAAGGCAGACATCACCTAGTGCTGTTTCACTAAAGCGAACTGTGTTGGTGAGCTTCTCTTTAATTAAACTGAGACCGGTAACCCTCACTGTCCCTCCCATCTCCCTGTCTAAGCTAGGCTGAGGGTCTAGGAGTTGCGTGGCCTCAGGTGTGTGTGTAATTAGCTGTGGTGAGAGACGGCTTGTTAACACTTTGCTCTTAATGCAGTAGACTGATAGCCCTGCAGGTGTGTTCATAGCGGCATGCTATATTTACTGCTTAGCATCTGCTCCTCACTCTCTCTCTTCTGCAACATTTATGTGGTGCACAGCAATGTCTGGAGCTGAATTTAAGGAGACAGTAGTTACAGACTCCTCTTTATCTGTATTTTACAGAGGTAAAAAGTAATTTCAGACTTGGCACATTTACATAGGTTTTAATCTCTTAGTTGTAGCAGTCTTTATCATAACTCCACTAGAGTTGTCCACTAGTTAACTGATCAGTTGTTGTAGCATTGTTGGTCAACTAACGTTCTCTTAGCAGACAATTGCATTGATTCATTTCTTTCTCTTTTTACATCCTTCATGCTATTTTTCTTTTTATTACTATAATGACCTACTTATAAAATACAAGTAAGTAACCAGTAGGTATTTCACAGTGTAGTTTACAAAATATACATTACTGTTCAAAAGTTTGGAATCAGTATTTTCAATAATATTAAAACCAAGTTGGTAGCAGATAAGTGTATAAAGCAAATACATTGGTCCTGTACAACGTCGCAAGTTCCATTAATAAATAAATAGGATACTAGGAAACTGTAAATAAAATGAAGAAATGTTCGACTTTTCTAGAATGGTGAACCGAGCTGTAGAAGATTCTTAGATGACTGAGGATGCTGTGTAACAGAAACATCAAGAATGATGTTGGAATAAAATTGATAGCCAGAATTCTTCATAATGGAACTTTACAAAAAATGTATGTCAATAGATATTCTTGATTATTCAGTATATTCTTGATTATTTAATGACTTCATGTTTACTTGATTCGTAAAATATTGGATAAAATATATGAATGCACAAATATGTTTTGGTTAATGGCTTGTAATACTAAGTTATTATTCTATATGTTATTGTTTGCTATCCAGTGTTGACCAGAGGAGGTTGGGTTCCCCTTTTGAGTCTTGGTTCCTCTCAAGGTTTCCTCTTACTTTTAGGGAGTTTTACCTTGCCACTGTCGCCATTGGCTTGCTCATGGAGGCTGGGCCCAGATTTTTTTTCTGTAAAGCTGCTTTGTGACAACACCTGTTGTAAAAAGCGCTATATAAATAAACTTTGACTTGACTTGATTTGACTTGCCAATATAAAAAATCTTACTATGGCAAGTGATTCCAAACTTTTGAACGCTAGTCTAGAGAAGCGGTGTGTGTAATATGTTTGTTCATTTTGTAAATCTGTTAAATAAGAAATATACACTTTTGAAAAAGTACAAAGAAAAGTGTAATAAAAACACTTGTATTAACATATAAAGCCAACAGAATGTTTATATTAGGAGTACAAGGTCATTTGAATTTCTTTAGATTGTTGTTTCTCATATTATGTTATTAAGTTGTTATCTGTTTGGGAGGTGTAGAGAAAATGGAGCAATTAGTTTGATTTTAGACAAAAATCTTTTGTTGGATGGTGAAAATTTTCAATCAAGAGTAGCCCTAAAATGTACAACCCAAACATTTAGTGTCAAGCCTTCTCCACTGTGTGTGTAGAGGTAGGAACTTCTTCAGTACAGCAGCAGTCTGGTGGAGCAGTTGTTATTAGATGATCATTGTGTAATTAGTCATTATGGAATATTCTTGTGCATAACCACAGGGAATGCCATATGGTTAGCAGTAATAACAAAATATTGTTTCATAAGCACACACTGTGAGTCTGTAAGAAATTGCTCAGTGATACAACTTTTGTTGTTTTGATCTCTACTCAAGCACATTAGATTTAAAATGAAATAATAGTTAATTGTATAGTTAAATGCAGAATGTCAGCTTTAATTTGAGAGTATTTGCATCTAACCACAGAATAGCATTTTATCTACAGTCATATTTTAACATGATAAATAATGATCTGTTTATTCAACAAGCTGACATGTAGTAGAAGTGTTAGAGTGCACTAATAGGGTTGTAGCTAACTGTAGTTTTAATTAAATCAAAGAGTCAATCAGTTAATCCTTGTACTTTACAGTGT